TTGTTTTTTTAAACATGCTATTAATTTTTAATGGCGTGTGACATTTTTGTTTACGCATAGCCCCAATGTAGAGCAAAACATTAGCATGTCTGAGGTATTAGTTTTCAATTTTTCTCGCTGCCATTGAGCCATTTGATGGAGCCTTAATTGATATTTATCGTTAGACGGACCCTGTCCATGTACATCATAATACAGCCTGCATGGAGTCGTGTAGCCGACAAAATAAAAACTCATTACTCGTCGACCAACGGATTGAATGGTAACGCGCCTACAATTTGGCCATTTGATTAGCCTCACCTCGCCACGGTCGTCTGGGCCAAGCGCACCAGCAGGCCCCAAACGGCCGATCCAGTCCGGCACATAAAACCCAATTTAATTAAGTTAGACTCTTGGATTGAGACGGCGTTTGAGGATCGAGACTAAGACCCACGCCAGCAGCTCCAGCAGTGCCATAGCAGCAGCTGCTGCTCCGGCAGACAACCTTGCCAGCATTCTTAACATGTTCAAGATTTTTACCAACGCACTGCATTTAGGTTTTTTTTCTTCTCTTTTTGTGTGTGTGTTTCGGTTGGTCTTGCTGCCGCGGCTGCTGCTGCTGCGTTCACTTTTCAAATGCTTACGAAATGTCAATATTCGGCACAAACTTATTTGTTATTTGATCGAAGCGATTGAGCAATTGCTGATAAACTCGCACTCGCTCAATGTTTTTCTTATTTGTTTTATTTCTGTCGCTTGGTTTTTGTCTTATTTTTTATTGATTTGTTAGCTAATTGTATACGAAAATTGTAATTAAAATTAAAACAAGAAACTGGAAACCCGAAACCCCTAAAGCTTGCATGTCAGCCCAACAAATACAAAATACAAATAAATAATCAAAAAATTGTTCACACTCTGATCTCACAGCTGGCGACAACATTGCGTATGAGTCACGAGTGCAATTGTACCTCGAGTAGGCTCCCAATTAACTGTTCGAGGTAAGTGTTGACTGGCTGAAAGTAATTCACTTCAGATTAAGATGGCTTCCAGAGATTGTTCCTTGGTTTCAGGTCTGCATAAGAGAGTCAACAACATGCTTCATATATGATTAGATAAAAAGCTAACTAGTGCCCCAGTAACCTAAGATCAGTCTGCAGCTTGTTTGGAATTTATACATAAGAAAGGGGGAACTTTCAAATTGGCAATCCCTGGCCAATTTACGTAATTTACTCAAACTCTGGCCAGCATGACATATCATTTTTGATTCAGATTTTGGTTTTGGTTATTGCTCGCCTATCAAAACAATTAGATTTGCAATTTCTTAGACAATCGTAAGCCTAATTTGCTTTCATTGTTTCGGATAATAAACTGACCCTGAGCCGTATATGGCAAGGTTACCGTGGACTCCATATCGCATTCATTTCTTATTACTTCGAGCCTACGAGTAAGTATGTGGAAATGTTCAATTTCCCTTCCACCCAAATAATGAGTGTATCTTGTTTTCTGGAAATGGCAAATGGAAGCCTTAATGAAGTCTTCTATATGCCAATTAAGCCAATAGCAGCTTGTAATGATAGATATGCCATAATTGTATGAAAAGAGGCTTCTGCGCTGGCCAGCACTTCATGTATTATACATTGCCAAAATATTATACAGAGCCTGGCCAAAAAAGTGTGGAGCGGTTAATCTCTGGCAAGACATGTAATGCATGCAAGTTAAATTTATTGACATGCTATCTACACTGCCGTGGCTCGTTATTTTGACTTGCTTTAATTAACTTTCAAAATGTGTCTTACCAATTACCTATCAGCACACATAAGCTGCTGACTTCTTGTGGCACTTTTAATTACTTGTATAAGTAGCGATGGTTTTGATGGTTTTTGTTAACCTAAAGGTATTGCCTACTTTGTAGCTTTCTGATAAAGTGGATCTCATGTAAATACGATTTTATTTTATTTGCAATTAATATTTAAGAAGCTTAGACATAGTTCGCTTGATAGTTTGTTTCAATGGGTTGCCGGCAGTCGGGTTAGTAGGGTTTTGGTTTCTGATTTCCATATGCAACCTGAGGCTGACGAATGGGTGAAACTGGGCCCACAGTCTGGCGAGGGCGAGAACCGATGGCTGGAGCAGCAGCAGCCCGTGGGTAAGATCCAGTAGCCTGTGGGCGAGAAGCAGCCACAGGAAGAGCGCTTTGATGGCGAGATCCAGACACACGACGAGTGGCGCCAGCAGGAGCGGAGACAACTGATCCCGGGGCTGCCACAGGACGCTTAGGCTGAGCTACAGCCGATCCAATGACAGGGCGATAGCGTCCTGGAGAACCGGCAGAGACAGGACCAGGCCCTGATGGAACGACGCCTAAGGTACGAGATCCCACGGTTGCTCCTTGTCCAGCAGAAGAAAGTTGCGACGCCTGGGCAAAGACGGCCAGGACACAGAGCACAGCAACAATTCGGAAAGCCATATTTATTAAGGATACTTTTGAGATGTATTGAAGGATAGGATGTTGAAGACACAACTGATGCTAACTCTGCCGAAGGTGGGCAGTTTTATACTTTACTCCAGAAACTAAAAAAACAGAAATTAAAAACAGCAAGCTAATTATTTACAAGATAATCTCTGGAATGTGAATGAACTGTAAGTGGAATTTTCCCATCAATCCAGTATTTTACACTCAAGTTGCACTTTCAACTCTCCAGCATGACAATCTGAGTGTCTTAAACTCGAAAATATTTATATGACACCAAGTCGCAGAGTTCAAACGTTAACGAACTGATTCATTCTACCAGCTTTGATAAGGCAGACACAGATTGTTATTCAGTTAAAAACAGGTCAATGAAATGTAATGTACAACTTTTCCACAAGAAACCACCAAACTTGTGAATTCCCAGCCACAGCCTAGACAACAATATAGTAACCATCTGTGCTCCCCTTTCCTGCTGGTGGAGCATAAAAAAGCTATAAAATTAAGTGTTTCGTCTAAGTACATATGAACATATGTATTTATTTGTCTTAAATAGAATTTTACGCTACGATAATTTAACTTAAATGAACGAAATTATTTACATTATATCAAAAAATGTTAAGTCTAAACGCTCATGGAATTATATTTTTTTTAGGATCAAATTAAAAACCATCGACTTCTGACAAAGGATTTCTCTAATGGACTGAATACGCATTTTTTTATGTACTAACAATATTTCCGGGTCTTTAATTAATAAATAAAACAAATAATTGACACAACATCACCAAAGTTTCCAGCAATAAAATTCCAAGGTAAAAACATTTCGACAAGGTGTTCGCTTTAAGAAAAATATTCTAAAATACCTTTCCAATTATACACTTGGGAACCACTTTCACATTTAGATCTTCCGCAAACATCTTTCAAATCTTTAAAACTTTCTATTGAAATTGGGTTTCAGTTGCAATTAGTTTATTAAACGAATATTTTGTACATTAGTAAGAATAAATATAGATAAATTTAATAAGTTTGGCCAGCAATTCGGTTCAATGGGTGGAAGGTAGTCTTAGTAGGGTTTCTGTTGGTGATTGCGATTCTGATGAACATTTCCATATGCACCCTGAGGCTGATGAACAGGTAAAACTGAGCCCAGAGTCTGACGAGGGCGATAACTGATGGCAGGAGCTGCAGCAATCCTTTGGTATGTTCCAGATGCCTGTGTGCGTGGAGCAGCAACGGGAAGAGCACTTTGATGGCGAGATCCAGACACATGACGAGTTGCACCAGCAGGAACTAAAACAACTGATCCATGGCCAGTCACAGGACGATGAGGCTGGGGTACAGACGATCCACTGACAGGCTGAAAGCGGCCTTGAGAAGCAGCAGGGATACCACCAGAGCCAGATGAAACGAAGCCTGAAGTATGAGGAGATCCAACGATTGATACATGTCCAACAGTAGGAAGTTGCGATCCTTGGGCCAAGACAACCAGGATACTGAGCATACTCATAATAAGGAATGCCATATTGAAATTGAGAAACTGATTGAGTTATAAAAGGGCTATGGGATGCTCAAGAGACAACTGATGCTCCCTCCGCCAAAGTGGAGAGCTTTTATGCTTAATTCCAGAGCCTAAACTTAAAATTTAATTTATTTTTGTTATAATTAAAGGTAAAAAGATTTTAAAATTACAAGTCTGGAAGTATAATATAATTGCTGTGTAATGTAGTTACATGCAAATGCACTTGAGATTTCATATTGATCCAGTTTTTCACACTCAGAAGTTCTTTGCACTTTTAACTCTCTAAAAATGGCAATCTTAATTTTTGAAACTTGTCATTCTTTGATCGTCAACATCTTGATACCTGCCAACAGCCTCAGAAAATTTTAGCACGGTATTCACTCACAGCTAAATAGTAGATTTAAAAATCAGAATGTCAAATCAAAACATATTTTATGAGCAGCCGCCATACAATGGATACCCGTATCAGATAGTTCAAAAATATTATTAATTGGTTTGTTTCTTATCTAAGAATTACCATTAGATAGACAAATTGCAGAGCTGAGTGTATATAGCTTTTAATAATTTCAAAGTATCGCTTCCTGAAGCCGTAATCTTCTTACGAAAAATAGTAGCTGGTGGTTCGAAAAGAATTTTAAATATTTTCTGCTGTACAAAAAATGTTATCAGGCTCATTATTATAATATTTTATAGCACATTAAATAAAGCTTAAGGTAACTGCGCTTAACTGTGCCTTAACGGTCACAACAAAAATAAATATAAACGAGTTTGATTAAAATGCTACACACAATTTTATTTAAATATGTCACACCAAATTGTTATTAACAGATAAGACCAACGTAGCTGCATTCAAATTACAAATAAATATAAAAGCAAGTTCAAATGTACAACAAATTGGTAAAAGTGAACTTATTACATTAGATCTGTGTTCAATTTTCAGACAGAGCTTCAATCATCACGATTAATCGGTTAATTTGGAAAGAAAAACCTAAATGGAAGGTAACTCAGCACTTCGGTGCTTAAAATTAGACTTAAAAGTTCTTTAAAAATTGCATTTATTTTTAACAAATAGAGTAACAGAAAATATCAAGCAGCTTCCTCAAAAAACTAGTTTGGTCAGAGGATTGTTCATCGGGCAAAGGAGTGGCTTAGTATGGGATTTGACTTCTTGGCAGATGATGACATTCACCATGAGTAATGGGCCTAAGGACTGCAAAGAAAGAAATTCATTGGATATACAACAGGGATTATAAATATAGTTTACGTCTTACGTGATTTCAGTTCGTTGCGACGCTTGCAGTTGGCAATGGAGAGGTCGCAGGAGTTGTTCAGTTTGTAGCAGTAATGTCCATCGGAGGCATAGGTGTGACTGATCGAATTGGGGCAGTGGATGGCATGGCAATTACGATTACGATGCACATGGCCATGTCCAGTTCCAGCCACAATTGAAGCCAGTCCCCCATGATGTTGATGATGATGAGAAGCCACCTGATGATATGATTCTGATCCCAGCACATGATGAGAAGCGCCAATAGAAGCCGGTACTGTGCCATGTGCAGCTAAATGACCGTGTTGCTGGGAATATTCCTGGCCTGCAAGAGGCAGATGGTGTCCATGTGGAGTTGCAACACCATAGTGATGGGAAGATCCATGTTCAACTGGGATAGATCCGTGTTCCACCGGAAGATATTCACGTCCCACCGAAACAGTTCCAAGTCCATGAACATCGGGATAGGATCCGTGACCGACATGCGACAGATGCGATCCTTGCGCCAGTACACACAGGGAACTCAGAAGTACAATTAAACTAGCCATTTTGTTGCAGTTCGCTTTTAAAGATTTTATTTGGTTCTTGAAGATCCCCAATTGTTGCTTAAAATTCAAATGATGCTGTTTTCGTTGGCAGTTGCCACTTTTATAGCCACAGCTCTTCCCCGTGCGAAGTCAAAACTTAGTGACAATTACCAAAACATTTTCAGAATTAATTAAAAGATAAGCACTGCAAAGCATCTTAACCCAAGCTAAAAATCTAAAAAATACCCAAATGAACGGAACACATAAATCATAAGCAAAAAAAAGAGAATGATTCAGCCGGAGTTGCCCCATTGATCCAGTTGTTCCTTCTCGAGCTCCAAGAGCTTTGTCCTCTGCCCTATCCAGCAGGTCACACTGAGTTAGCTGAACTCGGTAACACGTGCTAAAAGCCAGCGACTTAAAACCGGTATTCTGTAGTCAGAATGCTTTAATTTGCCTACAACACATATACACATTATTATTGTGATTAACTATCCCACTGGACTCTCGACACATTCCCCCGTGGCATAGTAAGAGTAAGCTAGTTGGAATAATGTTTGTTATTAAAAGAACATAATAATTCTAGTAATTTGTCTACTCACGTCTCTCATTCTCGCAAAGTGAGTTGCGCATCTCACACTCGTTGCTAAATGTGATGTACTCCTCCTGGAAGATCTGCGCACACACCGGATCGTACAAGTCCAGGCAGATTTTGTTGCAGTTCGGCTTGCAGGTTTCCCTATCCGTTTCGATCAGCTCCGTTTTTCCACTGACAGTACGAGCACACTGCTCCACCCTCATCAGACATTTATTGTGAAAGACAAAGCAGCGCTCGTCGGCTGTGGCCCACACAAAGTCCTTTTCCGCCGAGCACTTGAACTTCACACTGCAGTCGAAAAGTGGCGCCTCCTCTGCCCGAATGAATCCCATAAGGGAGAGCAGGCTGCCCAGCGCCAATATCAGCATTATGGTTCCGTGCATCTCTTTTGATGTTTGCATGTCCAGTGACTGATCAGTGTATTCAGCTGCCGTCAATATTTATACAATTTTAGCCCATGATTTGCTAGCTTAACCGTCTATTGGTTGACTAGGGCTTTAGTGACCCAATGCATTGGCTCTTTGACTTAATGAAATAAATGAGAAAGAAAGGGAAATCAGGTGGCAATAATTCCATATTATTAATAGTTAAAAATCATTAAATTTTCGTGATTTAGACATAACCTTTTACCTTATCATTGATCAAATATACCAATTTATATTTTTTTTAATTTTTAGAATGCAGAATAATGCAATTTACTTTCAACATTTGTTGCGTAAAAAAAATTCCCAATTAATTGCCTGATTCTTTATAGTTTATAGTTTAAGAAATTTTTATAAATTCTAAGTTCTTAGCTTAAATGCAAAAAAATAAACTGCTTGGCAGTGTGCGGGTTAATAATAGTAACCTGATGATTCTAACTGCTTATTAGTTCTGAGCTCGGGGATTTATTTATCGTTTTTTTTTTAATTATTGCGAAGATCTTTGATAGGCAACGTGTTTACATTCTAAATGAAATATATACCCATATTATTTCCTATGAAATGTTAACAAAATACTTAAAACAAAGCCTTTATTGTCTCTCTGATGAATATTCAATTAAATGTTATCTGCGAAAATTATAATTCACAAATTGAGCCAAATATGGCAAATATCAAACAGAGTATTGTGCAAAAAGTGAGCAGGTGCTCGCAATTTTTGCCTTTTTTTTTTGGTATATAGAAAAGCACACAGCTAAGTATATGGAAACATATCAAATATCAATAAGATGTTTTGTGATATGTTCACAAAAGCCTCGTTTGTTCAACTGTAGATAAACTGTTTGTACGTACATATGTACATATGTACATTTATGAAAAGATAAAGATAAAAGTTATGCAATGGCCTGTTTGCAAAGATTTTGCCGATAAAATGCTTTATTTAAACAAACAAGTCATTTACATGTTCAAACCTTTTTAATTGCTTTACAAAAAAGCTGCAACGAAATGGAAATATTTGTTAAAAACAATTTACTTAACGCTATTCTAAAGCACACTTACTCTCTCCAGTGCGACATATGTGAGCATTTTTCACGCAATCGTTGCTGAACTCTCGAGTCTGACCCTTGTAATTTCCTGATGTGGGACGATACAACAATGGACAGATCTGGGGGCAGAATTTCTGACACTCTTCTTTAGTGCTCTCGATCAGGGCTGTGGGAATCACAATTATTTATAGAATGATTCTTGGTAATCAACTGATTTGCGCACCTGGCTTTCGAACACAGTTCGCCTTGATGAAGTAGCATTTATTGCGGAAGACAGTGCAACTGTCACCACTCGGGCTCAGAGCCCAGACAACCTCCTCCTCGTCCGGACAGTCGCCGGTACAATTGGCGCTCACTTGGCCTAGAGCCAGCACCAGGAAAAGAGGGACCAAAAAGTAGGATTTCATCTTGCGAGCTGCTGACAGCTGAATGTGCGGAAGAACTAACGCCAGCCCAAACGGATGATGAGCTTATATACTGACGCTCTAGCTAGGTCTATAGAAATGTTTCTAAAAGTCAATACAGACGTGCCAGATTCGGGGACTTTTTCTGCTCTACTGCCACTGTTCTCTGCGGATCGGGTTTTGGTGTCGTCAAAGAAGAATGGTCGCCTACGAAATACCCAGGAATATATATTGTGATAAATCATAAAACAAAGTGTTAATTTTCCATGCTTTTATGTTGACCAAGGTCTAGAACTTATGCCCAAAATGAAAAACAATATTTAGAGACTCTTTAAATTTATTTCCAAACACGAGTGAAGTTTCTTCAGGTATTTGTTATTGTTATTCCAGAAAAGCTGTAAATAAATACATAATAAATATTTTAATGGGCATTCTTGAAATTTTCCTGGAGTAAACTTACTTTCGCCCGTGAGACATGTGTGAGCATTCTTTTCGCAAGCATTGCCAAAGGTTCGCATCTCTCCATTTTGAAATACATAAACGGGCCGATAGACCGCTGGACAATTTTCTATGCAATTTGTCTGGCACTTTTCCTTGGTGGTGATGGTCAGCGCTGTAGGAAGTCTATGTTTATAGAACCTATCTAAGACATGAACTGATTTGCTTACGTGGCTCGCGCTTGCAATTCGCCTTGTCAAAGTAGCACTTATTCCGAAAGACTTGACAATTAGGACCCAGAGCCCAGACAACTTCTTCCGTGTCCGGACAGGCTCCGGTACAATCGGCTTCGACTTGGCTCAGCGCCACAGCGAGAATCACACAAAGCGAGAGAAATGACTTCATTTTTAGTATATTGATCAGAAACTACTGCCAGGTGTGTGCTCGTTTGATGAGTTTATATAGCTCTAGCTGGGGGCCCCGACCAGGGCTATCGAAGTATGTATTCATTAGTGTCAATATTCGACACGTGCGGGGGAATTTTCCTCGGTGTGGTNTGTAGGAAGTCTATGTTTATAGAACCTATCTAAGACATGAACTGATTTGCTTACGTGGCTCGCGCTTGCAATTCGCCTTGTCAAAGTAGCACTTATTCCGAAAGACTTGACAATTAGGACCCAGAGCCCAGACAACTTCTTCCGTGTCCGGACAGGCTCCGGTACAATCGGCTTCGACTTGGCTCAGCGCCACAGCGAGAATCACACAAAGCGAGAGAAATGACTTCATTTTTAGTATATTGATCAGAAACTACTGCCAGGTGTGTGCTCGTTTGATGAGTTTATATAGCTCTAGCTGGGGGCCCCGACCAGGGCTATCGAAGTATGTATTCATTAGTGTCAATATTCGACACGTGCGGGGGAATTTTCCTCGGTGTGGTTTGGTTTCTATGTACATGTATTTCATCTGATAGCAGAGCAATGGAGAGTGCTCGACGACGGAGATGCTCAGTAATAATAAATATTCATATTAAATAATATAATATATGACCGAGTGTTGTCTCGAGTTTTAGGGAATTCTTAGACAAATAATATATTTATAATTCGCTTTGAATGATGCAAATATACCCCAGAGCAAAAGTCAGTGAGTAACTTGTGGCTAATATATTCAATGGGCTCGTCGAACCTGAACGTGACTTTGTCAGCTGTTTTAGCCGCAAACTGGTTTCTCGTTGTACCCATTAACTAACTTTGGAACTCTCTCTGCCTATCTCTCTCTCTGGTTCATTTTGGGTCCAAGGTTTTGTAGGAAATAGAAACACAAACCACAAAACGTTTTATTTAAGCGGCAGGAGCAAAGCCAATCCGCCGCTGGGCCACATCGAAGGCCGTGTAATAGCGCCCAATGAAGACATCGCCCAAAATCCAGAATTCCGTGTCCATCAATGTGAACGCTGACAGGCACACCGAGGAGCCATCATCGTTGGCCACCTGCATCACGTAGTCCCTGGGCAGCAGCCCAAAGCGCTGGCCCCCTATCACGAAGACAATCTCCGGCAGGCGATCAATCTCCGAGCAGCGGAGCAAGTACTCGCCACTGGCCGTGGGCAGACCCCCGAGGAGGCTGTTGATGATCAGATACTCTCGGGGCGGTGCCACCAGCAGCGAGGTGCCAGTATCCGCCACTGCCTGACGCCCCTGGCTGATGGTCTTGCCATCGACTTCCACGCTCTGCATCTGAAACTGCCAGTAGTCGGCATGGGTGAGGGGCACGTAGGTGAGTGGCGCCGTGAACCTCTTGGCATCGATGCCACCGAAGAGCAGCTCGCCACCCTGCCGGGCGCTGCCATTTCGCTTCAGGTAGAAGGAGAAGACGCACTTCTCCACCAAGCCCTGATCGCACATATTCTGAAAGAGCGGAGTGGCCTGCTGCTCGGCAAGCGAACGAAAGGCCAAGCCCACAATGCCCGCAAAGTTGGTGTCCAAAAAGGTGGAACCAGACTCATGGATGGCCATGCCAAACGTTTGATTCTGCACCACCAGACGGCCAACAGCGACCGTGTCCTGGGCCAGCATGCCAGACAGGTGGCCTGTGCTGTAGGCAATGGCAAAGCGGCGACCATCAGCCACATGGCTGCTCGAGGCAGAGGCGTGGTGCTGGCAGGCCACATTCCTCGCCGAACACTCTGCACTGGGCACCCACAGATTGGCGGATCCTGTGTCGAATAGCATATTGAAGGGCTGTCGGGGTGTGCCGATGCTAATGGGACCAGCATACTCCAGATTCTGGCGATTGTCCAGCGGCTCACTGGCTCCGCTGCTGCGCTGCACCATCGCTGTGGCCCTGCTGGCCAGATTGTACTTGGCGTAGAGCGAGGTTTTTCCTGCTCGATGCTGTCGTCGTGTGGCCATGAACGATGCCTGCCGCTGCATGGGTATGCGTATCAGCTGATGATCCTCCCAGCAAAGGGCCCAGACGGACAGCAGCCAGAAAAGAAACTTTGTACCTTATCATTGATTAAATATACCAATTTATATATTTTTTAGTTTTTAGAATGCAGAATAATGCAATTTACTTTCAACATTTGTTGCGTAAAAAAAATTGCCAATTATAGTTTATTATAGTTTAAGAAATTTTTATAAATTCTAAGTTCTTAGCTTAAATGCAAAAAAATAAACTGCTTGGCAGTTTGCGGGTTAATAATAGTAACCTTATGATACTAACTGCTTATTAGTTCTGAGCTCGGGGATTTATTTATCGTTTTTTTTTTAATTATTGCGAAGATCTTTGATAGGCAACGTGTTTACATTCTAAATGAAATATATACCCATATTATTTCCTATGAAATGTTAACAAAATACTTAAAACAAAGCCTTTATTGTCTCTCTGATGAATATTCAATTAAATGTTATCTGCGAAAATTATCTTCTGGACGTTGATATGCAATGACTGCACCATCAAGTGGCCCATGCGACACCAAGCCAAAGCCTGTTACGCGCGGAACCCAACAGAACGCAGCCCTCCTCCCGCCCAACCGACCGAGGGGCGCTGCCGCATGACGCGCGGCGCGATTAACCGAACCGGTCGCGAGCATGCAGGAAAGATAGATGTTAGGCTAATATTCGAGGAAAATTAGAGCTAAACATAACTAGACTAGAGCTACTATAGCTAAGCAAGCAAAAATTACCAAAATCAGAAACAAGACAAAACTAAAATGAAACTAACTACGGGAGAGGTAGGCTAGTATAAGAGATTTAAGAAGAGGAAGGGAGTTAGTTGAGGATATAATGTGGTAGAGGGAATTATAATCCGAGCATAAAACCCTAAAGGGTTCGTGTGAGGCATAATTCGATCTACATAGTGGAAGGAACAAAGGAATAAAGTTTCTAGTGGGTCTAATGGGAATCGTAAAGTTTATGCGGCTCAGCAAGTCAGGGCTGTCCACATCCCCCTTGATCAAGTTGTGCATACAAATTACACCAAGCATTTTTCTACGACTAACTAAGGATGGAAGATTTATTAAAAGAAGTCTACTACGGTAGGATGGCAGTCTCACAGTTGCATCCCAGTTGAGGCCCCGTAGGGCAAATAATAAAAAGTTTTTCTGTACTGATTCAATACGGTCCTGATGTATGTTGTACTGAGGGCACCATACACATGAGCCGTATTCTAAAATCGGACGAACAAGCGAGATATAGAGAGTCTTCGTTATATAGGGGTCCTCAAATTCCTTTGACCACCTCTTTATAAACCCAAGCACACCCATGGCTTTATTTACCATGGTAGAAATGTGTTCAGAAAACTTTAACTTGGGGTCTAGTTTAACACCTAGAACATCAACCAATGTAATTCTCTCAAGAGAACTACCGCAGAGGGTGTAAGGAGACAGGAAGGGGCTGGAGCGATAAAAGGTCATAACATTGCACTTCGAGGCATTAAGTTGTAACATATTTGCACAGCACCATGACTGAAAGCTATTGAGATCAGATTGCAAGCGAGAGTGAAATGAAATGTCCTTATACTGGATACAGAGCTTAACATCATCCGCATACATAAGTACTCGAGAATTTGTTAATACAGAAGGCAGGTCTTTAATAAAAAGTGTGAAAAGTAAGGGGCTTAAATGGCTACCCTGTGGTACTCCAGAAGTAACCATAACAGGTAAAGATAAGGAGTTTTTGAAAAGGACCCTTTGAGACCTAGAACACAGGTAGCTAGAAATCCATCTCAACAGATTGGGCGGAAACCCTAGAAGGTCGAGCTTTTGTGCAAGAAGAGAATGGTTTACAGAATCGAATGCCTTACTGAAGTCAGTGTAAATAATATCCGTCTGCAAGTTACCTTGGAAGCCTTTAATTACAAAGGAGGTGAACTCTAAAAGATTAGTGGTTGTTGATCGTCGCCGTATAAATCCGTGCTGTGCTGGAGATATAAGTGATTTGCAGAGATGCTGCAAGTGCGGAGTTACAAGTTTCTCGAACATTTTAGGAATAGGGGATAACTTAGATATACCTCTATAGTTTTTAGCGTCAGACTTGCTACCTTTTTATGGAGAGGAATTATAAAGGATTACTTCCAGATGGGGGGAAAGCTAGAATAATGGATAGATAGAGTGAATAGTTTAAGCACAGGTCCGCACAGAGACTCGGCACAGTACCTGAGTACACATCCGGGAACTCCGTCAGGGCCCGGTGAAAATACCGGCTTAACTAATTAAAGTTCATGAAGTAAGGAGCCTTCATTAAACAAAGGACAGAAAATGCCATTCGACCTTGGTAAACTATATGGATACATATGACCTGGGTAGCTTTTCTGGGAATAGGTTGTTTGAAAAAATGTTGCAAAAAGATCGGCGATTGCCTGATCACTTATAATCACATTGATCATTATAATTCACAAATTGAGCCAAATATGGCAAATATCAAACAGAGTATTGTGCAAAAAGTGAGCAGGTGCTCGCAATTTTTGCCTTTTTTTTTGGTATATAGAAAAGCACACAGCTAAGTATATGGAAACATATCAAATATCAATAAGATGTTTTGTGATATGTTCACAAAAGCCTCGTTTGTTCAACTGTAGATAAACTGTTTGTACGTACATATGTACATATGTACATATGTACATTTATGAAAAGATAAAGATAAAAGTTATGCAATGGCCTGTTTGCAAAGATTTTGCCGATAAAATGCTTTATTTAAACAAACAAGTCATTTACATGTTCAAACCTTTTTAATTGCTTTACAAAAAAGCTGCAACGAAATGGAAATATTTGTTAAAAACAATTTACTTAACGCTATTCTAAAGCACACTTACTCTCTCCAGTGCGACATATGTGAGCATTTTTCACGCAATCGTTGCTGAACTCTCGAGTCTGACCCTTGTAATTTCCTGATGTGGGACGATACAACAATGGACAGATCTGGGGGCAGAATTTCTGACACTCTTCTTTAGTGCTCTCGATCAGGGCTGTGGGAATCACAATTATTTATAGAATGATTCTTGGTAATCAACTGATTTGCGCACCTGGCTTTCGAACACAGTTCGCCTTGATGAAGTAGCATTTATTGCGGAAGACAGTGCAACTGTCA